CCCCCGTGCGCGTGCGCGCGGCGGGCGGGGTCGCGCACGTGTCGCGACACGCGCGAGCGGGGGCGGGGGGAGGGGCCCGAGGCGGAGGGACACACCCTGGGAGCGTGGGAATGGAGGGGGAGGGGGGGCGAGAGAGAGAGACCCCGAAATCAGGGACCCCAAAAATCAGGGACCCCAAAAATCAGGGACCCCGAAATCAGAGACCCCAAAATCAGGGACCCCAAAATCAGAGACCCCAAAATTCGAGAAACCCCAACATCCAGAAACCCCAAAATCAGAGACCCCAAAATTCAGAGAACCCCCAGAGAGACCCCGCAGAATGCGCCGGGCCTCTGGGTCTGGGGTCTCTGATTTTGGGGTCTCTGATTTTGGGGTCTCTGGGGGTCTCTGATTTTGGGGTCTCTGGGTTTGGGGTCTCTGATTTTGGGGTCTCTGGGTCCGTGGGCGCTGTCCCCCCCAGCAGCTCGGTGGCGTTTGGGGGCCCGGGGGGGGTCAATGATGGATGAATTATTGATGAATTATTGATGAATTATTGATGAACGATCCCTGAATGATCCGTGAATTACCGAGGAATGATGGATGAATTATTGATGAATTAATAATTAATTATTGATCCCGGACGAGTCCCGGCTGCTAATGAGGCGTAATTGAGCCCCGGCAGTGTCCGCGGGCAGCGGGCCGTGACCGTGTCCCCAGGAGTGTCACCGTGTGTGTCCCTGTGTGTGTCACCATGTGTGTCACTGTGTCCCCAGGAATGTCACCGTGTGTGTCACCGCGTGTGTCACCGCGTGTGTCACAGTGTGTGTCCCTGTGTGTGTCACCGTGTGTGTCACCGTGTCCCCAGGAGTGTCACCAGGTGTGTCACCAGGAGTGTCACCGTGTGTGTCCCTGTGTGTGTCACCATGTGTGTCACCGTGTCCCCAAGCATGTCACCGTGTGTGTCCCCGCGTGTGTCACCCTGTGTGTCACCATGTGTGTCCCTGTGTCCCCAAGTGTGTCACCGTGTGTGTCACCGTGTCCCCAAGTGTGTCATTGTGCCCCCAGGTGTGTCACCGTGTGTGTCACTGTGTCCCCAGGTGTGTCACCGTGTGTGTCACCATGTGTGTCACCGTGTCCCCATGTGTGTCCCTGCGTCCCCCTGTCACCATGTCCTGTGTCCCCTGTCTGTGTGTGTCCCCCAGAGTGTGTCCCTGTGTCCCCATGTCACCGTGTCCCCAAGTGTGTCCCCTGTCCCTCTGTGTGTCCCCGTGTCCCTGTGTCCCCCGTGTCCCCGAGTGTCCCCCGTGTCCCCAGGCCCCTCAGGGTCAGACTCGTTTATTGGGGGGCCCCGAGGCCGCCCCCCCCATTAAATACAAACCAAAGCCACGCCCCCCCATAGTGCAAACCCCCCGTGACACCAGGGACACCTGGGGACACCCTAGGGACACCCTGGGGACACCAGGACACCTTGGGGACACCCCGGGGCCAGGGGGGGTCGAGGCTGTCCCCCCAAAGTTGGGGTCAGTGCAAAGTGAGGCGCCCGCGGCGGGGGCAGGGCAGGGCAGGGCGGTGACACCGGGGACAGCGGGTGACACCAGGGATAGCGGGTGGCACCGGGGACAGCGGGTGACACCGGGGACAGCGGGTGACACTGGAGATAGCGGGTGACACTGGGGATAGCGGGTCACACTGGGGGCAGCGGGTGACACCGGGGATAGCGGGTGACACTGGGGGCAGCGGGTGACACCGGGGATAGCGGGTGACACTGGGGGCAGCGGGTGACACCGGGGATAGCGGGTGACACTGGGGGCAGCGGGTGACACCGGGGATAGCGGGTGACACTGGGGGCAGCGGGTGACACCGGGGATAGCGGGTGACACTGGGGGCAGCGGGTGACACCGGGGATAGCGGGTGACACTGGGGGCAGCGGGTGACACCGGGGATAGCGGGTGACACTGGGGGCAGCGGGTGACACCGGGGATAGCGGGTGACACTGGGGGCAGCGGGTGACACCGGGGATAGCGGGTGACACTGGGGGCAGCGGGTGACACCGGGGATAGCGGGTGACACTGGGGGCAGCGGGTGACACCGGGGATAGCGGGTGACACTGGGGGCAGCGGGTGACACCGGGGATAGCGGGTGACACTGGGGGCAGCGGGTGACACCGGGGATAGCGGGTGACACTGGGGGCAGCGGGTGACACCGGGGATAGCGGGTGACACTGGGGGCAGCGGGTGACACCGGGGATAGCGGGTGACACTGGGGGCAGCGGGTGACACCGGGGATAGCGGGTGACACTGGGGGCAGCGGGTGACACCGGGGATAGCGGGTGACACTGGGGGCAGCGGGTGACACCGGGGATAGCGGGTGACACTGGGGGCAGCGGGTGACACCGGGGATAGCGGGTGACACTGGGGGCAGTGGGTGGCACCGGGGATAGCGGGTGACACCAGGGACAGCGGGTGACACTGGAGATAGCGGGTGACACTGGGGATAGCGGGTGGCCCCGGGGGCAGCGGGTGACACTGGGGACAGCGGGTGACACCAGGGATAGAGGGTGACACTGGGGGCAGCGGGTGACATGGGGACAGCAGGTGACACCGGGGATAGCGGGTGACACTGGGGTCAGCGGGTGACACCGGGGATAGCGGGTGACACTGGGGGCAGTGGGTGGCAGCGTCCCCGGGTCACGCTGGCACAGGGTGACACTGTGACACCGCCACCAGGTCCTGTCCCGGGTGAGGTGACAGCGCTGGGGACATGTCCTGGTGTCCCCGTGATGTCCCCGTGGTGTCCTTGTGTCCCAGTGTCCCCTGCAGTGTCGGTGCCAGCGCGGTGTCACCCATGTGCCAGCAGTTCCCGGTCCCATGGTGACAATTCCCACTGGTGACAGTTCCCAGTCCGGTGGTGACAGTCCCCGCTGGTGACAGTCCCTTCTGGTGACATCCTGGCTGTTCCCAGTCCGGGGGTTCCCACTTTGGTGTCCCCAAGCCGGTGGTGGCAGCTGTGCCGTGGGGACACGTCCTGGTGGTTCCCCAGCACGGTGACAGTTCAGGGACAGCGTCCCCAGCATGGTGACATTTCTGTAACAGTGTCCCCAACGTGGTGACAGTTTCTGTGACGGTGTCCCCAGTGCAGTGACAGTTCTGTGAGTGTCCCCAAGTTGGTGACAGTTCCTGTGACAGTGTCCTGAACCTGGTGACAATTCTGGGACGGTGTCCTCAATGCAGTGACAGTTCAGTGACAGTGTCCCCAGCCCAGTGACAGTTCAGTGACAGTGTCCTGAGGCCGGTGACAGTTCTGTGACGGTGTCCCCAGCCCGGTGACAGTTCAGTGACAGTGTCCCCAGCCTGATGACAGTTCAGTGACAGTGTCCCCAGCCCGGTGACAGTTCAGTGACAGTGTCCTGAGCCCGGTGACAGTTCTGTGACAGTGTCCCCAGCCCGGTGGTGGCCGTGCCAGTGTGGGGGTGGGCGCCGTGGGTGTCCCCAGCCGGGGGCGTGGAGGGGGGGATGTCACCGATGCAGGTGACACAGGCCATGCAGGTGACACCATGGTGCAGGTGACACTGTCCTTGCGGGGTCCCCAGCCATGGGAGGGTCCCCAGCGGTGACGCAGGTGACGTCACCTTGCGGGGGTCCCTGTCCGTGCAGGTGACACTGTCCTTGCGGGGGTCCCCAAGTGTGGGGATGTCCCCAAGCTGTGAAGTGTCCCCAAGGTCCCCAAGCCATGGGGTGGCCTTGGCCGTGGGATGTCCCCAAGCCGTGGGGATGTCCTGAAGCCATGGAGTGTCCCCAGCCGTGGGTGTCCCTGGCTGTGGGTGTCCCCAAGCTGTGAAGTGTCCCCAAGCCATGGAGTGTCCCAAGGCTGTGAGATGTCCCCAAGCCGTAGAGATATCCTCAGCTGTGGGTGTCCCCAAGCTCTGAGATGTCCCCAGGCCCTGGGATGTCCCCAAGCTCTGGGGTGTCCCCAAGCTCTGGGATGTCCCCAGCCCTGGGGTGTCCCCAGGCCATGGGATGTCCCCAAGCTCTGGGATGTCCCCAGTCCCGGGGTGTCCCCAGCCCGGGCTGTCCCTGTCACCTCAGGCCTCGGAGGCCGCCTGGGGTTTGAGCTGCGCCTTCTCCATGGCGGTGCCGTAGGGCCCCGAGCGCTTGAAGAAACCCAGCTGGGGGGACAGGGGGACAGGGGGGTCAGGGGGACCCCGACACCCCCCGGGACCCCCCAGCGCCACCCCG